AATATGAATGTATTGCCTGCATGTAAGTGCACCCATGTTGTGCAGGTCCCACAGAGGTCAGAAGAGGGCATCAGATCCCATGGAACTGGAGTTATGAATGGTTGTTAGTCACCATATGGGTGCTGGCAGTTGAACCCAGGTCCTCTGCAAGAGCAGTCCTAACCACTGAGCCATCTCTTCAACCCCGTAAAGCTTTCTTTTCATTTGTTTTTCTTAGCATATATTAGTTGTACAAAAAGTTGGCTTCATTATAACAATTTCCTCTAGTAGTTTCAAAAGTTCAGGTCTTACCGCTCCCCAGTACTGGAGTGTGCCACCATGCCGAGCTTTTTACATGAGTGCTGAGGACTGAACTCCGCTATGGCATAACTCAAGTAAATGAATATGTGGCAATTACTTTACCAACTAAGCTGTCTTCCCCAGTCCTGGGTTTCTTAATACATTTTCCAAATTAAGTATTTTGCAAATTGGCTATTTTTCATTTGACATAATGTAGGAAATCATTTCAGAGGGTTTTTTGGTTTTTTGTTTTGGTTTTGTTTGGGTTGGGTTATTGGTTATTGTTTGCTTGTTTTTTGTTTGCTTGTAAATTTGTTACCATTTTCTTTATCTCCTAATATGTAGTGTATTTTTTTAGTCTTTTTTTCCATTGAGCTTTTTAAATTTCATACATTTCCCACTCAAATCCAGACCCCCCCCTCCACCATCCATGCCTCCCCCATCCCCCACCAAATGCTATGCACTCTGCCATACATGCTGAGTCCTATTCATTCAGGTCTTTGTACCCAAATGTCACCCAAATGTCTTTCAGTGTAAATGTGTCCTCTGGAGTCTAGTCAACCCAGTGTGTGATGTATTTTGAAAAATCTTCCATCAGCTGCTGATAAGAATGTGTATTCTGCAGTTGTTTGATGGAAAATTCTGTAAATCTATGTTAAGTCCATTTGATCTGTGGTAAAGGTTAACTCTGAGTTCCATGGTTGATTTTCTTTCTGGATTATTCATTTGTGACATTAGGGTTTTGAAGCCACCAGTATTAGTTTACCCTTTATGCCCAGCACTGTTTCTTTTATGAAATTGGGTACAAAGTAATGTTCAGTTCATATATATCTACAGTCATATATCTTCTTTCCCCTTATTTATATGTAATAATTTTCTGGTAAAGAAATTTTTGGTTTAGTAGTCAACTAGATAAAGGTATGTTAAGAAATGTTAGGATTATCTTAATATATGTGGGTCTGAATTCCTTCTAAAAATGTCTATTTTCCTCATTTCTTTGGCATTTTCCAGTAAAAATTATAATTTTTCACATTATAGTGAATTATCCTTTAAAAGTCTTTCAAACTATTTAGGGTTGGTTTATAACATACCAGATACAAGTTTTCAAAGGTCATCTCTGTGCAATCACAGAGGATGTGCACAATTTCCTAAGGAAGACATTGGGAGATGAAGTTTTCTGTATTATCTATCAGACTAACTCACTGGAGATTAATCCTCCAGAGTGTATTTTGGCTCTGACCAGGTAGGCGCCTTCCGATGAGCATGTCAGAAACTTGCAGACATTTAGAGGAATAATGGGTGTTAAACAAAGAGCATATTGCTTTCAGAAACTAGAACACTGAGCCCCTCTCCAGAGGTAGGCTGCTGAGGTCCCCCAAACACAGAGTCTCAGATCCCAGAAAAGGTTGAAAATCATTCTTTTTTAATGCAGATATGTGCGCATGCATGTACATTTTAATGACTACACGAGTGCACATGCACATATGTGGAGGCCAGAGAGTAACCTCAAATGTTGTTCTTTGGGAATGCTGTCCATCTTCTTTTGAGACAGTGTCTCTCATTTGTCTGAAGTTTGCCAGTTATGCTAGACGAGCTGGCCAGTGAGCCCCAGGGATCCACATTTCTCCACCTCCTCGGTACTGGGATGGCAAGTGCATGTCACTATGCCTAGCATTTACGTTGATTCCTGGGATCTAACTGAGGCCCTCATGCTTGTGAGTCAAGTACTTTACAAACTGAACTTACTCTCCAGCCCTTGTTCCCAAAGAATAGTCTCCAGATAGCTGGTATTAGCTCTCTTGTACACACTAGTGGGATTTTATTTTTTATGGGAGGTGCAACAGATCCATTGTTCAGACTTACTAGAATGACTCGGCAGCACAACAGGAGATCCTCTGCATCTGCTTTTGCTTTATCCTATGATTCCAGTCTAGCATCAGAATTACATTGTGAAAGAGTGAGCTCATTGATTAGTAAGGGCATGATGATCTTTACATGAATTGAACAGTTATAGAACACAGCATTCTATAAAAGTCTTAGGAATTGAGTCTAGATCTCCAACGCTGAATTTCATCCTTCCTCCTGGAAATGTGTATCACTTTTTTAGGAGCCTGTGTCCTTTGAGGACGTGGTTGTGAACTTCACCCCAGAGGAGTGGGCTTTGCTAGATTCTTCCCAAAAGAGGCTGCACAGAGATGTGATGCAGGAAACCTTCAGGAACCTGGCTGCCATAGGTAAGAGTGAGACTTATTTCATCAATGAGAGAAAAGTATTTGTGCTAATCAATAAGGCTCCATGATTTGGAATACAGAAATAGAAAATTTAATACATAGACCAAGCATGGTTGTGTTATACCATGAACCTACTTAGAATCTAATAATTTTCTATAGTGTTGTATTCATTCAAAATGATTTTTATGTGTCTACATTTCAGGAAAAGAAAAAGACCAGAACCTCCAAGATGACTATGAAAATTTAAGGAGAATTGTGCTCATTGCAGTTCAAACTGAACACAAACTATGTGAGAATCAAGAATATACAGAGAAACTAAGTACATGTAAGGAACGTGGAAGAGCCATTAGTTCTCCCCAGTGCTTTCTGAAGCATGTGAAGTCTCACACTGGAGAGAAAACTTACGAATGTAAGCCATCGGAGGAATGCTTCAGTAGACACAGTTACATTCAGATGCACGCTACAGGGAAACCTTGTGTTTTAAAGGAGTGTGGGAAAGGCTTTATAACTCCTGGTGATATTCAACAGGACATGATAACACATAATAGACATGGGCCATATACACGTAAAATCTGTGGCAAAGCCTTTCATTGTTCCAGTTCTTTCTTGACACATGAAAGAACACACCCTGGAGCACAGCTTTATGTATGTACACAGTGTGGGAAAGCCTTCACTTATTCCAGTGGCCTTCGCCGCCATGAAAGGACCCATACTGGAGAGAAGCCATATGAATGCAAGCAGTTTCTGAAAGTCTTTCCTTCTTTGAGTAAGGTTGAAAGTCATGAACAAACTCAGACTGGAGTAAAATACATATGTAATCAATGTGGAATAGCCTTCAGTGATCATGATTCCCTTCAGTGCCACGAAAAGATTCATAATTTAGAGAAACCCTATATATACAAGCAATGTGGAAAAGCATTCACTTGTTCCAGTGCTTTGCGAAGACATGAACGAATTCATACTGGAGTAAAACCCTATGAATGCAAGGTATGTGGGAAAGCCTTCATTGACTGCAGTTCTCTTCAGTGCCATGAAAGGATTCATAGTGGAGAGAAGCCGTATGTATGTAAGCTGTGTGGGAAAGCCTTTAGTCGTCATGGGTCCCTTAAATGCCATGAAAGGATTCATAGTGGAGAGAAGCCCTATGTTTGCAAGCAATGTGGGAAAGCCTTCATGCATCATAATGCTCTTAGATACCATGAACAGATTCACAGTGGAGAGAAATCCTTTGAATGTAAGCAATGTGGGAAAGCCTTTGTGCTGGGCAGTGCGTTGAAAAAACATGAACGAATTCACAGTGGGTTGAAACCTTGTCTGTGCAGGGTATGTGGGAAAGCCTTCACGTTTCATAGTTCTCTTCATTGCCATGAAAGGACTCACACTGGAGAGAAACCCTATGTTTGTAAGCAGTGTGGGAAAGCCTTTATGTATCACAGTTCCCTTCGTTGCCATGAAAATATTCATAGTACAGAAAAACCCTATGTATGTAAGCTATGTGGGACGGCCTTCACTTACCATAGTTCCCTTCAACGCCATGAAAGGATCCACAGGGGAGAGAAACCGTATGTATGTAAGTACTGTGGGAAAGCCTTCACTGATCACAGTTCCCTTCGATGCCATGAAAGGATTCACACTGGAGAGAAACCCTATGTATGTAAGCAATGTGGGAAATCCTACAGTACTCATGGTTCCCTTCGATATCATGAAAGGATGCACTGCATGTAAACTGTATTGGATGACCCCCTCTCTGAGTAAATTTTAAACTCGGTAACAAACTCAGAAAAACCATATGTTTGTAAGCAATGTGAACAAGCCTTAATATGTTCTGGTTCCCTTCAAAAAACATGAATGGCAACACACTGGAGAATATCCCTAAGTACAAAATATAGGAAGGCCCCATTAATGCAAGATCATCCTAGCAAACATGATGACATATGAAGGAAAGGTAAAGCATGTGGGACCATCTCTACTTGTCTCGGTTCAAGTCACAAATGAACACACTAAGGGGGTGAGGAGATGGCTCACTCTGTAAAGTACTTGCCGCACAAGCATGAGGACCTCATTTTAAATCCTCAGCACTCATGTAAAACCCAGACATGGTGGCATATATGTGTAATCCTGCTTCTGGGGGAGCTGGGACAGGAGACTCTAGGGCTTGCTGGAGAGCTAGTCTAGTCAGGTTCAGTGTGAGACCCTTCTCAAGAATAAGATGGAGGGCTGGAGAGATGGCTCAGCAGTTAAGAGCACTGGCTGTTCTTTGATAGATCGAATCCCAGCTCTCACATGGCGGCTAACAACTTTCCGTAACTCTACTTCCAGGGGATCTGATGCCCTTGTCTGTCCTCTGTGGGCATTGCACAGCATGGGTGCACTTACGTACATGCAGGCAAAACACTTATACATGTAAAATAAGATTTTTTTAAAAAAAAGTAAGATGGAGAACAATTGAGGAAAACATCAGACATCAACTTCTGGTCTCTACATGCAAGTGAATACATGTGCATGCATATATGGGCACCCATGAACATAAATAGTCATACATACCACACATGCAAAAAAAAAAAAAAACACTATATCAAGAAACCTTGATTAGAAGAAAATCTACAAGTCTTCATTTAGCCCACATATCAAAATACAAATTCAGTCAAGACCTTGTAAATGTGTCGGGCATGGTGGCACACACCTTTAATCCCAGGATTTGGGAGGCAGAGGCAGGTAGATCTCTGTGAGTTCAAGGCAGCCTGGTCTACATAGTGAGTTTCAGGACAGATGGGGCTGCAGGGAGACCCTGTCTCAAAAAGACCAAAAAATAAGTAAATAAATAAAACCTTGTAAATGTGAGTAGAATTGTCTTTTGAAACATACAGCTTCAAAGACTGGTATATAGATTCTGTTAATATAATGAATGTGAAGACGCTGGTATAAAATAATTTGTGTGGAATGCTTTAGAAATTGCACAACCAGAAAGACATGTTCTAAAATTTATAAATGTGTGTATTGTGTTTGTCAGTGGCACATTCCTAGGTAGAACTCTGTGTATTTCTAATTTCTTTCTTGAAAATAAATGTAGTGCAATTATTTGCTAAAGTTACTTAAATGGCAGTGTAGGAGCTTATTTAATCTGACTTTTCCTTCTTTGAAAATTCAGTAATAACTTTCTGCTTTTAATTTAAAATGTTGAATTAATAGGTGAATTGAAATGTCTTTCTAATATGTGAGTAGTCTTTAATTTTTATTTAGTTCTTAAATAATTGTGTCTAATGGGCCTGTAAAATTAAAAAATGGCAATTGGGCTGGGGAGATGGCTTAATGAATAAGAGCATTTGCTACACAGGCATCAGAATCTGAGTTCAGATCCCCAGCACTCATATAAAAAGTCATATATGGCTAAACATGCCTGTAACCCCAGCACTGGGAGTGGGGGACCAGAGACAATAAGATTGCTGGGACTTGCTGGCCAAACAGCCTTGCTGAAAAAGAACAAGTTCCAGTTTTAGTGAGAGACCATTTCTTTAGGAAACAAGGCAGTGATAGGATACCTGATGCATGCGTGGGTGACACACAGACAAGATGAGAATTGTCAGAGCAATTTGTTAATTGGGATTTTCCTACTATATATACACACACACACACACACACAGTCTACTTAAGAACAAATAGCTTTGTTCAGAACAAGTAGCTTTCTTAAGTGGATTTAACTATTTTTCACTTTTTAATATTTTCTCCAAATAAGATTTCTGTAGATATTTTTATAGAGTAACTGTTTTCAACAGTTTGTACATTGAAAAACTGTTAACTTTTTCATATGTTGACAGCATATTTGCAGAAATAATTGTTAAAAGGTCAATTTTACATTTTTTGTCTTTCATATTAGTAATTTTCAAAAAACTGGTGAGAATTCCTCATGTGATTGGATTCAATTAACTAATATTCTTTTCCTATGTAAATTTCATCATATTTATGTTAATAAGTTTTGTTTTTGTCATAATTTGTCCTTCACTTCTCATATCAAAAGATACATCTTATTGGTTTAAGTTAAGTACCTTCTTACCAGGGATCACTAACCCATTGGTCAAGCTGAATGCAATGAGTTGTAGTAATAAATCTATTCACCATAACTGACTGGTTCATCAGAAAGAACATTTTTTAAGTTTTATTTGTGTGTGAGAGACAGAGAGAGAGTTGTATGTGCACAAATGTATGCCTGTGCATCTGCAGAAGCCAGAGGAGGGTGTTATGGTGTCCTGGGTCACTCTGTTTTATTCCCTTGAGACAGGGCTTCTCATTGAACCTGAAGCTGTGCTGCTATCCAGACAGCCCCAGTGATCCTCCTGTCCACTAATACGGAGATTACAAGCATGCATGGCTTTTTTTCAGACAGGGTCTCCCTATAACCCCAGTTATGTAGACCAGGCTGGCCTCTCAAAGATCCACCTGTCTCTGCCTCCTAAGTGCTGGGATTAAAGGTGTGCACCACCACACCTAGCGCATGCATGGCATTTTACATTGGTGCTGGGAATTCAAACTTAAGTCCTTATGCTGGTGCATACTGAGCCATCTCCCCAGCTGAGAGGATTTTTATGTATAGGAAGAATAGTCCATGTGAACTGATAGTGATATTAAAAGATGACTAATTGATGCCACATTTACCAAACTACACAACACAGTTTGTCATCTGCTTCTGTGTTTATTTTTGCCACTGCTAGGCATACAGCACTAACATATAAGGTCACCAATGAGAGCATCCTCACACTCAGTTTCTACGAAGATTGACACGTGTCTCAGCTTTATTACAGTGCCACCTGCTAATACTGAGTTTTCTCTATGGCCTTGATTTCCATCTGACAAGCAGATGTTTGTTCACCAACTCACCTATCTCAAAAAGTGGAAGCATTCATATTTGCAAATAGTCTGTTCCTACATTCACATTATGACTAGAGCACCTAGATTATTTGTGCCCAATTCTGTTTTCAGTCTACAAAGTTGCCACATGAAAGATGTTTGAAAGTTTCTGTGAAAGACATAGTACCACTGCAGTAGTGCTACTGTTTCTGTTCCTTCCTAGGCATCTACTCTGGCAATTTACCTACACATATTGCTTCCTGTGGCTCAACAATGTATTTGATGTATGTGTGTGTGTGTGTGTGTGTGTGTGTGTGTGTGTGGCACATTCATGGAGGTCAGAGGACAACTTGTGACAGTTGATTCTCTCCTTCTACCATGTGGGTTTAGGGGCTGAACTCAGGTTGCCAGCAAGTGCTTCGACCTGCTTTACCTTGCTGGCCTCATCAATGATTTAAAGAGAAATAAGCATGGTATGAAATAAATGAATTTATTTTAATGACCTAAGAAAGATCAACAGTTTATGATGGTCTGAAAAGATTTTTCCATATGGTCATGTGGGAAAGCAAAGGTTCTTGGGGAAAAAATACCTTCAATATAGGGCCACAGCAGTTAGACTCAACCAGTTCAACCACTTGTTCAGGAACATAATACCTAAAACTCAGGCCAGACACGGTGGCATACACTGTACTGTTAATGATTAGGAGGCTGAGGCCAGGCTGAGCTGCAAAGCAAGCCCTTGTCTCAAACAAACAATGAAACCACATCCTAATAGGCTACCCAACAAACAACTTAGCACTGATTTATAAAACAGTTATATTTGACCCAACGTAAGCTATTGGAAGTGATCTGAACATATTCAATATAGAGGCAGTTCTACTCTATAAATGCACTTTTAACTTGTGATAGTTTCACCTTACCATAGATTTATGATAACATAGCACCATAGAAACTAAAGCAATCTAACTTCATAGAGACGTGTGTAATTCTTATATAGCAGTGGAGTCAGAGGTTGGAAAGAATGGAGTTGGCTTATTAATTCTCAGTGACTAGGATGGGTCAAAACAAAACAAAGGCATTCTGTATGTCTTATAGTTGGCCAGACAATGCTTTCTGAGCCATAAAAAGGTGGAAAACTCCCGTTTTTACTAAACTGACTGGTCATTATCAGCACTTTAGTATTTATTTTTTTTTGAAACAGGGTCTCCCTGTAGCCCCATCTGTCCTAGAACTCACTATGTAGACCAGGCTGGCCTTGAACTCACAGAAATCTGCCTGCATCTGCCTCCCAAATGCTGGGATTAAAGGCATGTGCCACCACGCCCAGCTTGCACTTTAGTATTTCAAAGAGCTGGTTACATAGCTCAGTGTTTCAGCCTTCTAGGTAAAAATTGTGATTACCAAACTCAGAATTGCTTCCTCCTCCAATGGAAGGAGACACATAGCTACACTCTGCAGCAGCCAACATCCCTAAAACAAACACCTCTTTCTGGGCTAGAGAGATGCCTCAGTTGGTAAGAGTGCTTGCATAAGCATAAGGACCTGTGGTGATCCATTTTCAATAAGCTTAGGCTTACAAGTTACAAAGTTGCAGATAGGCAGGAGGTACTGTGTGGATACCTATTGGTCTAGGCCTACTGGCTATGCCCCACTCAAACCAGAAGTTTATCTTATGGAGAAATCACAGGCAGTCTGCCTACATGACCAAGACCATGATCTGGAGGGTCCTAAGTAACAGGATGTTGAGGGAGACAGAAGTCAGCAGGAAAGAATTTATTGCAGAATGCAAATGTCAAAGGAGAAGTGAAGAGTAAGGAAATAATGAAACGGCCACTTCACACCTTCAGAGCCCTCCATCTCCTCTCAGATCCACCCCGACTTACTAAAGCCCCAATACTTCATGTCCTTTATTATTTTTAAGGTCTATCAAGTCTAATTTGTGTTCCCAAAATGCTCTTGTGTGTGGGTCCATTCCTTAGAGCCCGGTCAACCTACCTAGCATTACACCCTTCAAACCGACTCTCCCTCTTCTAACAAGACTGGGGCTTCTTGCCCACCTTTCCCCTCCATGCTAGGCTTTTGTCTGGCTTGAGCTTGCTCAGGTCTTGTGCATGCGAGGTGGGTTCCTATGTGCAGCTGACCTGTTGTGTGCAGAAAACAGGTTCCTTGTATTCATCCACAACCTCTGGCTTTTATCATCTTTCTGTACCTTCTGCAGTGATCCCCTGAGCCTTAGGAGCAGAGGGTACGATATAGGTGAGCACTCCACAATCTCTTGGTCTCTGCCCTTTGACCAGTGGTGGTGGGTCTTTATCACTATCTGCTGCAAGAAGCTTCTCTGGTGAGAGTTGAGAGGTCTATGGGTATAACAATAAGTCAATAGAAGTCGATTTAATACTATGTCCATCTAGCAGGTCTTATGTTCTACCTAGTCATTGTGATTAGGAAATTGTTAAGAACT